TATCTTTAATAAACATATATTTTATCTATAAACTATTGTCTGCCCGAACTGCCACAGACGGAAGGGTATAGTTTCTAATTGTAGTAGAATTATACTTACCTGTTGGACACCGCTATAATCCTGTGAAGGATCCCTGTAGCCGTGTCATTGTTATAGTACTGCTGTTAAGAAGGCCACGGTACTATAACAATATAATATTTTATTAATAAAATTTACTACAATATTATTAATAATTTTAGAATATACTCTTGTTTACTATATAAAATAATCCAAAAATAATGCAAAACTAAAAACTTAGAAGAAAAATATATTTATATTTATTAGTCCATATCAAACTATATTATGAAATAAGATAACTAAAAAGTTTGTTTATAATTGTCTTATTATATTAACTTTTATTACTAACTATTAGTTAATTTAAACAGAAATAAGCTTATAATAAAAAAGGTTTTGGTTTAATAAGAATATTTGATCTTTACACTGTCTTTGAATTGTTAATTATAATAAGTTTCAATTTATAGATTGTTTATTGCATTAATAAGTTCTGAGTTTATTAATAATAAATACTGCTCTTATTCTATTTTACATGTTTATCTATTCTTTATATATATAAGATTACTTGATTTTCTTATATTTATAGGCTATTTTATATAAAGCTTTTTCATTTCTTAGCATATCTGTATGGTAGTAAAAACATAATTTGATTGGTTAATTATCATGGGTGATTACAGGTAAATTAATAAAAATTAGTCAATCAGATGAACTTCTTATGAATCTCACAATTAAACCTTTCCCGCACAAAAAATACGTGGAAATTTACTATTTTGATTGACCAATGGTTAGGGTTGTATTATACAAAATTACATTTTTCATTACATATGAAATTACATTGTAACTTACAAAACTGTAATGTAACTTTACAATATATAATGCATTGTCATATGATAATTGCACCAGCATTACAAAAGTTTTGCCGTCATTAATAATATCCATTATTGTGTTCGGAATTTTAATTTTATGTTTTTTCTTATGTTAGCTTTACAAAAATTTTGGCCCAAATTATTCACATAATCAAAATTACATGTAATTTTGATTTTAGAAACTTATACAAACTTACGTAAACTTACATAAAATTACAGTAATTTTCCATCCCTACCAATGGTAACAATCAAAATTTAGGCAAAATTATTCGAATTATTACTAATGAAATCATGGCCGCCATTAAGTGAAATATCTCCCTGGGCTAATTTTATCATTGCACAGGCTCAAACCTTAACAATTTCCATCTTTGCAATGTATGGGTCAATTTTTACAATATACTTTTCAAACCGATCTAATTCTGGTCAAATTTGCTGATCATTTGGCCCTTGGTTTATCAGTTTAAAACAACTCCCCTAGCATCACCACCCTACTATTTCGCCAGCCAATCAGAATTCAAGATCTGGTGTAATATGAAAAAACGCAAAAAAATCAAAACAAACCAAAAAATCGTTCATAACTCAACATTTTACCTATGAAACTGCTTTCTGCGTATTAACAAAAACTTTCTTTAACCTAACTTAATAGCAAAACCAAACCTTAATTTAACTGCAAAATTTTTTTTAGCGAAATTTTTTAAGTTGGTGACGCTAGGGTCTTAGTTTAAAACTGATAAGCCAAGGCTAAATAATCAGCAAATTTGACCAGAATTAGATCGGTTTGAAAAGTATATGGTAAAAATTGGCCCATACGATTAAAAAATTAAATTCTGGCCAAAATTTTGTATAATGCGGGCCAGAATTTTGTCGATCACAGCTGTTGTCCAATCAAAATCGAGGATAAACCACGCATTTTTGTGCAGCACCAATCTCGCGCGGGATTTTTGAAAAAACCACGATTTGCCCATCTCTAGTTATTACTATATAAGTTAAAGAACCTCTTTCAATCATATGATGTCGATAATATTGAATAGATAGATCCTCTTAGTTTTGGTTGTATTATTGATAGAGACTCTGATATGATTTTTGGAAAGTTACCGGAAGATCAGAGAAAGAATTTAAGGGAAATCTTAGATTTACCATATCATAAATTTGAAATGAGTCTAATTATTTCTGAATTGGTTAAAGTTCTATTAGAAAGATCGAAAAGTTTAAACAAAAGAGAGATGATGGTTTCTCTTCCGCCTATATCGATGGACTTTCAAGGAAATGATGAGGAATTTGAAGATATATGTGTGATGTATAGAATGATAGATTCAATATAGGTAGTTAAGCTTCATCTGTAAATCAATTAATTTCTAATCGTTTTTGTTTTTGTAGACGACATATCTGGTGTCACTTTAAAGATGAAAATAAGGCTGAATATACGGAGGGAACGTATATTGTTCGAATAGTATCAAGCTTTCTTGATCCATGATTCTGCTATGAAAATGCCAAACTTAAAGTTATCTGGTAATTTTTTAAATATTATTTAATAAAGGATATGGGTTTTGTTTATATAAAATTATAACAGGGCTGAAGAAGTCTCAGAAGCATCCCAATGTCGGATGGATGATTCCGGGAAAACAAGAATAAGGCATAAGCCTGATTTTCGAATAAAGTCACCATTAATAGTTGATGAAGTGGAAATATGTCTTATGGAGGCTTCACGAGTTCTCCCTACTGATAAAAAAATTCGTGAAGACTGGGATAAGTTGATAAAGCTTATGAAGGATGTCCATGTTAGATTATTGAGGAAGCTTACTAGAAGAAGAGCAAAGGAAATGAAAGACTTGAAAGAAGAGCTTAATAAAGTTCCAGAGTTTGGTATTCAAGTTGCTGGTACGTAATATCATATTTGATCTTTTTTTTTACTTAGAAATAACCTCTTTTGTTTTAGGTGGAACTTTGGCATGTTGGGTTATGACTATGCTATTTGGTGCTTTCTACTTTGTTCAACGTCTTGCCTCAGTACAAATTCCGATGAATCGGGGACAGTCTTCACTTACTGAATTTATGAATGAGTTGTGGAAGTTGAGAGTAAGACTATCATCTTTTGATGAAATATAGTAAAATTGATATATACAGTATATGTTCGGGTTAATTAATAGAATTTTTAAATATGTAGGCGACTCTACGAAACCATATCCATGTCCTTAATGAAATTATAGAAAAAGTTGATTCATCTTTATATGAGTGTTGCTAAAAGAAAACCTGAAAATTTAAACATGACTTATATTTAAATTTTCGGGTTTTCTTTTAGCAACACTTACATAATATAGCTATTTGTTCTCCATGGGCTCAAGAAGAAATGCCCCTTTATGATGGAGAGTTAATAACTCCACGATCACCATAACTAATACAGGTATTAGAACAAGCTATCGTTTATTTATTATCGGGGATGATGCTGAAATTTTAACTTATTTTTATATGAAAGTTTAAAAATTTTTAGATGTTTTTTAGCTTTTTTTATAGTTAGATTAGGTTAATGTTTATAATAAAGGAGTATATAGTTGGTTTTTTTTTAGTAGAGTTATATTATTAAATTGAGACCCAAATTTCAGAATTATCTGATTTCAGCATTATCCCGATGTTACTATCGGATCGGGAGAGTGTCAGTAAGTGAGTACCGGGTTTAGGTCAGCGATAGTGAACGAAAAAGATAATGGATAATGTATATGACTTGTATGCGAGATAAATATAAGGGATGCAGTAAGAATTATAAGGACATCAATGTCTGTAGAGATGTGTGACACATGTATATAATCATGAATGATACTTGGTGTATATGTATTGTACTTTATTATAAACATCAAGGAGAACAATAGAATATGCGAGAACTAATGTAATATGTTATATGCGATAAAGCATTGTGAAGATATATTCTCAGAATAGTGATATAAAAGTAAAAAGAATAAAAGTGAAATAAGAACATGAAACTAATAATTATAAGGGAGGGAACGAACCACTATTATAATGAGGGAACAGACTAACTCAGCTGAGGGAACAAACCAACTCTGCTGAGGGAACGAACCGATCTCTGATCTCCAAGGTAAGCAAAGTGAATTCAGTGAGCTTTTATATTTACATGACGACTAGATCCCCCCTCCTGATACTGATACAACACCATTCTATTACTAATTCTTATTTCCCATCAACACCAATAAAACTTACTCCTCGCTCCTTTATCCGGTCGGGTTAATAGAGCATAGGGATGGAATCGGCTACGGCCAGTGTTGTACATGGGACAGTTGGGACATGAGTTGGGACATTTTGGGACATTTTGGGACAATTTTTTAAATTAAATTTACTCAAAATTTTAATAAGACAATCTACTTTAATTTTTTTAAAAACATGCTCAGCACTTAAAAAAATATATAATTATATAGTTTTTAAATTAATTTAGTAATTATTAAGATCTAGGGACAGTTGGGACACTTTGGGACATTGGGACGTTAGGACGTTGGGACACAGCAAAAAAAGCTTGGGACAGTCCAAATGTACAACACTGGCTACGGCTATAGCCGGTTATAGCTGGCTATAGCCATAGCTGATATTAGCTGACCGATCGGCTTAGCTGACCGGCTAGCCGATGCCAGATTTTTAATTTACTGGTTTATGAGAATAATTGTACCAATCATATCAGCTGGTCTGCATCATATTGGTGGGTCTGCACCATCTGATATATAGAGGAACTTATCGGTTATAATTCTGGTCAAATTTGCAGATCATTTGGCCAGTTTTAGAACAAAACAATTTTAAATCTGGTAAAATGATCAGCAATATTAGAGATGCATCAGTCCTGCAAAAAACCGGTCCTGAACCAGTCTTTGAAGTGGGACAGGACCATGAGAATGGTTTCTTGACTACCCAATGAAATTTCATTATGTAGTTCACAGAATTACAGAAAGATCATGTGATATTTGTTTATATTTTTTTACCCAATCAAATTAGAACCATAAATACGTATTAGATAATCAGTCTTCATAGAACCAGACATTCTATATTTTCTTAATATTATTCAAATAATGCAAATATCTTAATTCCTGAACCTCAACTAATGATACTGGTGAAATTAATTATAACAATTTCATCAATTCACCCTAACTTCAATAGTAGTAAACATATTGGTGAATTTGTATATACTTAAATAGAAAACCTATCAGTTATAATTTTGGTCAAATTTGCAGATCATTTGATAAGATTTGAAATTGGTTTGTTTTAGATCTGGCCAAATGATTTGCAAATTTGGCAAAAATTATAATTAATGGGGTTTTCTATTTATCAGATAATGCAAATTTACAGATATGAATTCTTAAACCAATATACAATTAGTTTGCTACTTGATTAAATATCGATATTTGATAAAGGAATTAAATAATTGATCAGTTATAGCCATAGCTAGCCGGCTATGATCAGCTAGCCAGTAATAACTGACCGATAATTGACTATAATCGATCAAGTCCATCCCTAGTAAAGCATCTATATGTTGTTTAAAGGAATAGAAATAGATAAAATTAGAATAGTTATATATGTATAGTACTAATGTGATCTCTAGATTAACAAATACACAAATTAAGAATATAATAAATTTTTATACTAATGAGTTAACCAAATCTCAAAAATTAGTCTACGTAAACAATTGTTTATATATACATGATTTACTAGCTAAATCAAACAAGTTTAGATCAAAAAAACACCAAATGTTAGGATAAGTACTCCATCTATATCTCAGACTTCAAAAACTAATTAGACTAATATATAAGCCCAATCTAATCCAATCTATGATTACACCTATTTTCACAAATTAGAGCATGATGATAAAGAAAGTTTAGAAGATAGACATAAAGCTAGATCTTATTTTATTAAATATAAACAGCATAAAATTGAGATAATTATATGTTTTATAATATATTCTATATTTAAAATAAAAAATCACATATGTATAAGCAATTGTTTATACCGATCACAAGAAAAATTTTATTAACATTAATACATACAAAAAATAAATACAATTGTTCAAAATCTAGCTCATAATACATGATGTCTATAATTTTGTTTGCAAAGTAATTTCTGTATAAAAAAATTCTACACTCTGTTACTTTACTAAAAAATTTCTAATTTTATGCAAGTTAATATAAATAATAAAATAAATTTACTCAATATATACATACAAGAGTAAACTAATTATATACAAAATTAAGTACTAGTGTTCAAAAAAGTCAGCACGGATCAGATTCAGATTTGTGCAGATCCAAACTGTCGGATTAGGTTTGGCATCTGAAACGTCAAATTGGGCTCGAATTGAACAGGATTGGGCCTAATTTTAGATCATGTCTTTATATAATCACTCTATGTGATAAATTTGAATTTGTCATGTAATAAATTTGAATATATTACACCTTGTGCCACAATATAAGTAATAAATTCATATTTGTCACGTGATAAATTCAAATTTATCACTTATATTGTGACAAATATATGTGACAAACTGTCAGATTAGCACAGATCACTCCTGAATTCAATCCGAATTACAAATTCAGATTAGATTTGGATTAATCTTAGATTAACCAAGATTTTTAATCCGTTTTTGAACACTATTGAGCACTATGGTCAGCTTATTAATATGATATAAAAAAAGTAGATATATCTATAAAATTAATCTTTTTTATACTTACCTATAGGATGATAAATATTTGTGTTGCTATCATCACATAATCTTTTAATTCTGTATCACAACCATATAACTGATATTATCTGTCTTTCTACTTGCCTATTTATCCTATATTTATATCCCGATATATAGTTTTCTTATTATTATAACTAGTTATTCTCTATTTTCTTATATATACTTCTATACATCTAATTTATTTCTATATTCAAATACTATATTGTGATCAACTATTAATGCATAAAGTATAATCATTGATATCTATTACAGTATACAAATGATGGCACATTTGTCAAAACTCTTTCTGATAATCATCTGGTCAACAAAAAACAAGAAACTGAACTATGATCAGCACTATAGAAGACGCTTAAGTAAATAATAAACTTGATCCTACAGAAGTAGATGTGTTGTTGACAAAGTACCAAGAGTATAAAACCGGGGAGTGGTCTACTTTGGACTGGTTTTGATAAAGGTCAGGCTCTTCTTCTGACAGACTCCTCTGCCTATTCAGCATCCAAACCAGAAGGATATTTTGGAAACACAGAATGTCTAGGACAACATTAGGAGTATTACAAGCTTAAGGTATATCTATACAACTGTAAAACTTACAAGAAA